TCAAAAAGTTATGGAAGAGTATATAACTTGATGCAATATAAAGATATGAATAAAGTAGGGGATTGTGTGTTAAAATAGATCTAAAGAACCTCTATTTATACCAAAAAAGGCTTGGCGACAGGTTCGAGAAACAACGATATTAAATACTCCCTCCGTCCCTAAATAAACTTTCCTTTCGACTTTTTGAGGATTTAAGGGGGGATATTCTTGTGTTGACTTTCCAAAAATACCCTTGATGTAATGTGTAAAAGTAAGATGTGATATGTAGATTATTAGTAAAAAGGTATGATGAGATAGGTAGGGTATGAAAAAGTAAGGGGTAAAAGAAGTTTTTTAAGGGAAAAGATAATTTTATTTGGGAACAAAAAAACAGAAGAGAGAATTTATTTAGAGACAGAGGGAGTAAGTCTCACCTGAGTAGGAAGATTGATATTGCCGATGGAAGAAGACAGAAAGAAGATGTGTGCTTACTGAAGAAGTGTGTGTGTGTATATATATATACACACACACGCACACTCACTCACTGTGCATCTACTCTATGAGAAATGCTAGAGTCACAAACACTTCGGTCACAAAATACACAAACTTACCATTAGGGACGGAGGGGGTAATATTTTGTCTCGGGAATACAAGTATGACAAAAATTTAGGGACGGAGGGGGTAATATTCTTATACAGGGGAATTTACTTAAATAACATTAAAACATGATGAGTTTCCTTAAATAACATTACATGTGTGTTTTTCCAATGTACTACCTCCGTCCCAATTTATAACGCATGTTTCGGTTTACGATGTTTGACTGAAATTATTTTCAAACCATTTTATATGACAAATGGTATAGAATTAAAAAAATAAAAATTACATATTAAAAAACTACATCAAAAGATTTACAAAACTAGTAGTGACAATGATATTTTATTTTTTCAAATTGCTAACGAAAATAGAGAAAGAAAGTGAATGAAGTTTGACCCTGTGAATAGTAAACAGACATTATAATTTGGGACGGAGGGAGTAACACTTTTAGTCATTATGCATTAGTCATTGCTCAAGTAAATATTGACCTTCACTGGACACTATAGACATTACTAAGTGTTATTTATAGAATAAAACATTTTAAGTGTTATTTAGAAAAATGACTTAATTTTTAGTGTTATTTAGTGCAAATATATCTTCTAATAAATTTGTCGTAGTTACCTTAAAAAATTAAGTTTATAAATTTTTAAATCAAATATAATACTCGTAATAATTTTATATACTCCCTCCGCCCCAAATTATTTGTCACATTTCTATTAACGAGGCAAAATATCAAGTTTTTTCAATTTATTTTATTTACATATCGGTAAAGAAATAAAAAATAAAAATTACATATCAAAAAACTACATGAAAAGTTCTTCAAAATAAGATGTGTCAAGAGTATTTTATTTTATCAAATAACCAATGAAAACGTAGAAATAAACAAAAGTTTCCGCGACTGTTGAAAAACCAAATGTGGCAAATAATTTGGGACGAAGGGAGTAATTAAAATATCAAGGCCCATCAAAAAATAAGCCCGGTACGGTTGGGACTTTGGCCCTCCCTTGGGCCGCCCGGAAAGGGAGTTCTGTTTTATTTAAAGGGCATAAACATAATTTCACTTGAGTATTTTTCTTTTTCTCACTTTTTTTCTTAATAAGGGAGAGAAAGTTTTACCATTTTCCTTCTTTTCATCCAAACTCAAGAGAATAATACCATTAACTAGTGTCAACTCCGTGCTTCGCACGGGCTCGATACACTCTAAACTTTTGACATTCTATAAATATAATTTTATTTATTTTAAATGAATACTTTTTCACTCTAAGATATATGGAGTATATTTTTTTTAAATAAAAACTATGCTTTAAATATTGATGTACATGCACTAAAAATTCTATAACTATTTTATCAAAAAAATATTACATTAAATAAAACATAAAAATGCCAAAAACAAATTAATATCTTTGAAGGTGAAATGTGTTTTCATTTTTTGAAAGTGAAATATATTTAAATTAATAATGGAGTCTTATACATACAATTTTTTAAAATTTTACATTCAATATGCATATTTAAAATACGGAATATATTTTACAATAGTGAAATATATATTTATAGAATCGTTAGAAAATGTTAAAGTTTTATACAAAATATAATCAAAGTAATGTTTATTAATGCTAAAAATAATATTCATTTAATATAGTGCAATAAAATATATTAAAAGATCTTTAAAAAAGAAGTTTAATGAACCAATGAAATGTTTCTATCTCATTAATTAGTGCACATGTAGATACACATGTGGATGTACATGTGGCATGCCACATGTCAACACCACAACCAACACACTCAGGAGAATAATACCATTTTGGGTACAATATTTTTGTCACACATTATTTTATAGAACTTTCAACCAAGTTTTTTAATATATAAACTTTATTAATTAACAATTTTTATATAAATTCATTTTAAAAATGTAGAGTTTTACCTCGTAAATAGTGAAATTATAATCTAATTTGTGATGTAGGGAGTACAAAATATCAAACCACCAAACAAATCTATCCCTCACTACTATTGTAGACCCCTCCATCCCACCAAAAATTACAACTTTCTCATCTTACTTGTTCAATAAAATATTTCAATTTCATCAAAATGGACTAAAATATTTCTCTTTTAACCCTACTTTCCCACATCTGTGACATCTCATCTTACCTTTTATTTTTCTAATGACTCATTCTCATTATTCTTAACTATTTATTGATGTGAACATAACTTTTAAAAAGTCACTCTAAGGGCGTTTATGGAAGGTCAAACACCAAAATACAATCCATTTTCCTAAATGTCACCCTAAGGGCGTTTATGGAGTACCGTACTTATTGTTTTTTAAGGAACATAAAAGAAAATGTGTGATAAATTAGGAAAAACCGGGAAAAAAAATGAGGAGAGATGATTACTGATTTACTGTAAATGAAAATGCAATAAGTGTAAATAATGATCACCTTAAGAAAAATGTGTTGGGGGTAGGGGAGGGGGCATAATTGATGCATGTGAAGAGCTTTCAAGTTGTATTATTGTTATTATTATAATTATTATTATTTATTCATACATGACCTCATCCATAATGGCAGCCATTTAAGACTCTTCCCTTTTATGAGGTAAATTTTAATCATTTCTTATAATTGTGATTGCTGTAAGGCTAATGATGGAATTTGCAATATTATTCATTGTGCTGAAGACTACACGTGACTTCAAATTTTCAATTTATAATGGATCTCCTTTCTAAGTTTTGTAAAGGGTGGACGAAAAATAATTATTTGTCTACTTCATCTTATCATATATGGAGTAATTTGTACTGTTTTTTTAAATATTCTCTCATTATATGGGTTGCCTTGACGGTGGCCAGTAGTTGAAAAATACTCACTCTGTCTCAGAGTATTTGTTCATTCTTGACTTTTTTGGTCAAAATTGATAAACATTGATCCCAAATTAATAAAAATGATATTAGATATTGATATAAAAATAATTTTATTATATTTATTATATAAAACATTTTCAAAATATTTATTTTTCTAATTAATATATAACATATATTTTATTTAATTATAAGTCAAACGTTAAGATTTGAGAACGATTGACTGAAAAAAGTAAAAACTGGATATATACTCTGGGACGGAGGTGGTACTAGCTGGGACTTTGGATAGCATGAGAGTATGTAGATTTTTTTGGGATTATATGACAATATATAGATTATTAGACAAAGGCCCAATTTCTCTGTGTCGTTGGGCTCCTGATTCATCGGGAACAAATTTGAGTACGATTAGTCTGTAGTGATAAACAAATACACGAGTACCTATACCATATATATGATTGTACAGTATTTTTCGTATATTCACATTAAAACTCATTTTTTAGTAAAAGAATATAGATTTTTGAATAATTGAATACTCATTTTTTATCATAACTAAATTTTAAAAAAATGAAGTTTCAGTAACTCGAAAATATGTATCAAGTTATTCGTGAATAAGTACTCACTCTGGATGTACGAGAAACACCGTACAACCAATTGTATGATATATGTTGCATTGTAAGACCACCTGAACATATATTTTATTGAAAAAATGAGAATTTTTAAAGACATTTTAAATAGAAAAGTGAGAAGTTTTTTCTTAAGTTAGAAATGTATTGCGGTATACTTATATATTTTTGGTCAAAAAAGCAGTTAATTAAAAATTATACTATCTGTAAACCAAGAAAAGATTATACTTAAATATAGAAAGACTAATCTTTTTTTTACTTAAAGAATCCATTATTTATATAATTATATCTCATTTTTTCGAAAATTCCCCTATCCAAGTCAATACGTCAACCTGAAGCCCAAATATTTCTGGCCTCTCTTCTGTTTATTTCAGCATACATATGGATTTACCCAACATATATATGGGCCGAGGATCCTCTCAAAAGTTTAGATTTTTTGCTAGTTCAACAACCATATCTTCACTTTATTTTTGACCATATTGTTTTAAATATTGAGGTTCAACAAGAGTGCTTGAGGAATCCACTTGAGCTATATCAATACAAAAATAGTAAGATGAGAAGTTCCATTCTATATTAGTGTAAGGAAATAAAATTCAAGGCCCAATGAGATAGATCTAATAAATTTATTTTTATAACAATACAAATTACAAATTTTATTTACTTGAAGTTCAAAATTTATTTAGTTTAGATAAAAAAACAAACTAAACAAATATTCTGGAACAAAGGAATTAAGTACTTGACATATATGTACTTGTTTATCCAAATTCAATGGGGGCAAACGCACCCACTGGCTCCGCCACTACATACAGTGTTCGGGCTCTACCCCTACACCTAAAAGATTGAGATTAAATTAAACGGATACGATACTGATGGGTAAAATAGGTACTCAAATAAACAAACAAAAATCTCTTGATGACATTTTCATATGTGGGAAATTACTTTCTACTAAAGACTTAAGAAACCCATACTTGAATTTATGCCAATAAAGAAAAAAAATTACTACACTTTTTTGGCCATATTGTTATTACTACATGTTTAGTTAAAATAGAGAGCATATATAGAGATAGTTCAAATATTCAATGCAAGGAATTAAGAAGAATGGGGTGAAGTTGACGATGATGATATGCTCCTAATCCACACACTATCTGCTGTAACAGATTGGTCGTCTTCGTTTCTGTGCCATTCCCATTTTGCATGGCTTCCATTCACCACCTCAAGTCTTCCATGCCCAAAACTCGCCTCCCTAAACACTGATATTTCCGGCTCCGGCTTCATATAACTGCACCATTTTGCACACATTTATTATTTCATTGTAAACAAAAAGTTTGCGTTACATTAGGGTTTATAAAATCATATTTAACGTCCATTTTAAAATAAGATCGCAGATTTTCTTTCTCCTTTCGATATCGACCCTCTTGAAAAAAAATACAAACTTACTCGGTGGCTAAACCTTCGCGATTACCGCCATCCCCAATGTTGATATATAGCGGGCCAGAGTCGTTTGCTTCCTCTTTGTAAACTCGAGTCTATATCATTCGTTCCCAGTTCAATAAACGTGAAGAAACTAAATTTGAATGAAAAAAGAAAGAAAGAAAAGGAAACGAGTAGATAGAAATATTTAGGTGAGTTGAGAGCTTACAAAGCGCTCGTACGCATGAACATGACCGGAGAAAACGACGTCGGTTTTGGCCTTAAAGAGCAAGTCTTCCATGGAATCCTTCATGTCAACACTTTCCTTCTCCCCTTGATGGGCAGTGTTGGAGTTGTACCATGGTGCGTGCACAAGCACAAACAGCCATGGAGTCTTGGTTCGGTCAACTTTCCCTAGGTCTGACTCCAGCCACGTGTACTGGGCTGAGCCGGGCTCGAAATCCGTGTACGAGCCCAACATCACCACGTGGACCCCCGCCACGTCAAAGGAGTAGTAGAGGTTGGAGTCGGACCCACTCTCCTCGAAAGGCATTTGCCACCTGGCATTGTACGCGGTGAACGACTCTGGATGGATGACTGGGATTTTCTCCACTTCGTGGTTGCCTTGTGTCACCATCCACGGCCGTTCACTCGCCAGAGGCTCCACCAGCCTTCCGTACGCGTCCCACAACTGCTGGTCGAAGTCCGCGTAGGACAAGTCACCCGGGAGCAACAACATGTCGTAGTTCGACTTGGAGATGTGTTCCAGGGTTGATTTGGTCCACTCCGTTTGTCCAAGGTCACCTTTATAATTTTCACCAAGCAATTACACAAGTCAACATGCATGGTCAACATGTAATAACACACTCAGTAAAATCTCAAGAAAAGAGAGTAATTTTAACGTGAGAATTATTTTATAGGTTACCGGCAACGGCGAATTTGATGGGGAAACCGGAAGGCGGAGTTGTGAAATTATATTGGAGGGAAGAGGCGGAGCCGCCAGGGAAGCGGTAGTAGTAGGTGGTGCTGGGAGAAAGCGGGCCGATGACGGCGTGGTGAATATCGCCGGATTTGTACAACAGGTATCTGTAGCTTGTGGTGTTGGCATTGGCAGAGAGGATGTAATTTCCCGGAGATGTGCCGTATTCTACCGTCGCCGCCGTGTCTGACGGCGACTCTTTTGTAAGCCATGATATCCTCATTTTGTCCTTCCCTGCCATTGAAATATGCACCTGCAACATTTTTGCACCTTAATACTCCGTATATTAAGAATAAAGTGTAAAGAAATAGCTAAAGTTTTAGTGCTATTTCGTGCAAATATTTCATAAAAATAAACCAAATAGTTACACCGTAAAGTCCGTATATATAAATATAAATTGTAAAAAATAAAATATTTCAAAATTATGTTTTCAAATGAATCTATTTGTATTAATTTTTATGAAAATTCAAAGTATTATTTGGTAATACGCGGTTATAATTCAAAAAAGTTATTAATCCATAACTTATACTTATTACACTAGTCATATCAATTCACTGAGTAATCTGTCAATGGTTACATGTCATCCTACCCTACTATTTGACTTTATGATCAAAGTACAGGCAACACTTCCTCTTTTATTTTTTTCACTTTCAACAAAACACTTCCCTTTTCTATTAAAAACCCACTTTTACCCTTACTTTTTCATACTCTACATATCACATCATACTTTTTCTCTAGTAATAAATCTATCACATATTACTTTTACCCATCACATCAGGGGCAAAATTGGAAGTCAACTATAATTTTACACTTCTTTATTTTGCCTTATAGTCAAAGTGGGAAGGGTTTTTCCAAACGGAGTAAATTTTTAGGCTCGAGTGCGGCCCAACCCGTATAGCAGGTCTCACAATTGAAACTTGAGCCCGACCACATGGACAATACCTTCTAAATGATTAAAAATAACTTTTTGAATAAAATAATACATTAATTTATTAGATGTTTTATATAATAACTATAATGAGTATATCAAAGAAAGGCTATCATATAAAATGTGTTTTCTTTGATAATTTGTTTTTTAATTTATAAAATATGTTTTCTTTAATAATGTTACTATTTTCAAGACATTTCATGGAGAGCGTTTGAGGTCCCTATTGCAGACTTGAAAAACTTAAGAATTGACGATATGATGAGTGCCATTACTACGCGACACGCTACCACTACTTCACAGGGCTACTAGCTCGGGGTCTCCTCCTCCTTGTTGATACAAAAAAGTATATGTGTGTTCATAACAATTTGAAATAATTTTGTTGTTGCTATTATTACTACTATTAATGTTGTTAATATACTTATAGTAATAAAAAATACGGAGCATTATTTATTACTCATGGGTATGAGTATAAAATTCGAGCTTGGCCTTAAAGTATATGGGTCACTATTTATAAAGCCCGAGGCCATGTATCCTAAAGTATCAAGCTCAAGCTTGTTATTTCGTGTACTAGGGTCCGCGATCAAATCTACTTACGATAAAGGGTAAAATTTCAAAATGATACTACAAATGTACATTTTTCAAAGAACAACTTTTAAAATACAAAAATTTTGTGAGCCGCAAGGCATTCTTTGCACTGCCCGCCACACCTTGCCACATCATCCGATGTTTGCATTTGCCTCTCGTGGCTAAGCTGTTTGGCCGTTCTTGGCATGGCAGCCGCAAGGCATTCTTTTATTTTTTGTATGACAAAGAAGGTTATCTTTATTTAAAAAGGAGCACATTTATTTTTATGAAAAAAAGATAAGTAAATTTTTTTTATCATTAAAATATGTTAAAAAGGTGTAAAAGACTGACAAACACTAACTTGTCATCGTAAGGCATCACTCCACTCAATTGTTACACGCTCGCTGAATTGATTTTCATTGATTAGCTTCAAGGAAAAATCTAGAGATACTTGATACTCCCTTTGTCTACCATAGATCTTCCCAGACACTATTCACAGGGTCAAACTTTACTCACTTTGTTTGCTCATTTTTACTAGTCATTTTTGTAAAATAATATAGTCTTGTCACATCTAGTTTTGTAGAACTTTTCATGTAATTTATTATTATATAAATTTTATTTTAAAATTTTACTCCTATAATCAATTAAATTGAATTAAAAATAAAGTCGGTCAAGCCTCGTAACGCGTAACGGGAAGAACTTAGGTGGACGGAGGTAGTAAATGATAACATCTGTGTGTCTGTAAATGAGGCTCCTATCAAATCCATTAAGTAAATCATCTCAATCATGTGGACATAGGCGTGGGTGAGTGGTGGAATGGGCGAGTGCCAAATGGCGCCTTACCGTACACGCCCCTCTTATTATGACGACATTAATATGGGTAGATATGTTCGCTAGAAATTAAAATAGTAAGGCGATGACGCATTAATTGTTACGACGTCGGTTTGCGTTTGTCCCTCACGGCTCCCACGCCAAACTCCCTTTCCCATTTCATCTTCTCTTCCCGTACCAAACGCGTTACACATGGCCATATGACGTGGCGTTCCCAAATTCGTTAAATAAAGTGTTCCATCTGTTTTATATAACCGTGGTTCGTATTTTGACTTTTAGAAAAAATAAAGAATGTATATTTGTGATCGATTTCTAAAATTTACCATTGATTTGATGAGTAAAAATAAATGTGATGGGTAGATTACTAGTAACGTACAAAGTTTACGAATAATTAAAGTAAATAATAATAATACTCCGTATAATTTAACTAGTGAACCGTGACTGGAAATTTTACTTTGTATATTGAAACATAAAAAATAGACTCAACGATTCAAAGAATGTAGGCATATCACCCGTTCATATTTATTCATCTTTATATGAAATGATCCGTTAAGAAACAGAAAGATTGATTACTAAATGTTTGGGTATTAAATTATCATTTGTGTGTGCCCGTACAAGATTTTGGTACCGGTGAGAATGCGACCTTATAAAAGAAATAAAAATGAATCTGGTGCTTCAGATTGTGAGATCTAAGGGTCAGGATTGCATCAAAATTAAGTGCATCAAAATGGTTTGAAAATACGTCATGTCGAAATGCACTAAAATCCCTTGAAAATGCATTATCTCAAAATCCGAGTACATGATGCAATCTGAGCCGCACGATGCATCAGATCCAAACGCTAGATTTCATTCTTATTTCTTTCACCAAAGTGCATTCTCACCGGATCCGGCCCCGTCCGTACAAAACATGAGATATCTATGTGATGACACGCTACCTTTATTCTTACTAAATAAAAGTGCAACTTTAAAATTGGTTAATCTTTAGGTCGGATAAATTCTTATCCATACACTTTAAGAAACTCTTTCCATATGTTTTAAAACAAATCTTTTCACAATAAAATTGAAAGTTGATTGATATATATGTACGGTAACCGTAACACCGTCCCCCCATATTTTTGGAATTTGAGTTTTTGGAATCAAATTCATTGTATATTATTAATATACTCCGTAACAAAATAAAGTTTGAACGTTTCAATTTTAGTTTTTGTTTAATTGAAGCTCAATTTTTTTTAATTTGAATCAAAAATATGAAACTCAATAAATATTCTGATATAGAGGTAGTAATTACCATCATTTTTGCCCCGTGTTTGTTTATTTTAATTTTGTACGGTTAAAATTAAAAATATTTATTATTAATTAAATAAGAATGATATTAGATATTGATATGAAAAATAAACTTATTTTATTTATGTTGTACCACGTTTTCAAAATATTATTTTATTTAATTAATATATGATATACGGAGTAATTTTTAAATAATTATATCTCAAAAGATTGGTCTCAGTAATAAACTCATAATTACGGTAGTAATCACGAATCATATACAGAGATCAGAGCAAATTAAGTAAATGCAATTATCATCTTAATTAATTAATGAATTCGTTCAAATCAGAGGAAATGAAGAGAGAGTTACCTGTTGAGGAGAATAGGAGTCGAGATGTTGGGGCAGAGATGCGAAAATGGAGTCCCTCGCCGGCGGCCGTTGGTAGGACAACACCGAGCGAACGCCGCCGGCGATGACGGCCACCGCCATGGCTATGGCAAGCGCCGCCGCCCGCTGGTTAAACCCGCTGCCCATTTTTATTACTCTCCCGGTCAGACCAGAGATATATATACATATACTCCGTATGTGTGTGTGTATGCTTGGTTAGATATAGTCATATAGATAGAATTTTCTTGACATCAAGTTAATTAAGGAAAATAATTATGCACTCAAAAGAAAACGGAAAATAATTATGAGTGGATTAATTCTATCTAAATTTATGCCCCTTTGATTATTACTTCTTTTGTCCAAGAGATTTGATTAATTTTGTTTTTGGATTCAAGATGGGACGAATTTGAATCTCTTAGACAGGAAGTTCTTTATAGTTTAATCTCTTAGACATTTGAATAAAATAGGAAGAATTCAATTATGATGGTAAATTTTATACAGTTGGGTTTGTTTTCGTATTTTGATATATCAATTTTTATAATATATACGGAGTACTATTTAAAATTATACATACTCCATTCATCCACTATTTTTTTTCTCATTTTTCTATTTTGGCCATCTAAAAATTTATTTCTCATTTCTATTTTCACAAAAATACTATTAATGAACGTGTCAATATACCTCTACTTTTCATCAACACTATTCACTTTATTTTATCACATCAAGGACAACACACGGAAAATTTGTATTCTTTTTAATTTTTTAAATATTTGTACCGAGTCAAATAGAAAAAAATTTAAACGAAGGGAGTATTTACATTAAAACAAAGGGAGTAATCAATTACATTAACTTTGCGTTATATGTTAATACAAATAAACAAATATATCTTGTAGTTTTGTATTGGTATCCAATGCAAAAACAAAAGATGAGCCTCATCCCCGAAGATCCCCTCAGACCCGGCCGGATGGTCACTTAAAGGATGTAATTTAGACTTTAATCGCATATTGATAGCAGAGAGTGGAGCTTGTACATGGTACTTGCAGAGGCCTTATGTTTAGCAGATTGTCTCCCAGTGCAGTTGTTAGGAATCGAACTCGAATCTAACACTCTTGGCATCCCTTGCCTTGGCAACTGCGCAACGCCTACCGGCCGTATCCTATACAAAGTTAGTGGAAATTATTTGTAACAAATATTTTATTTGTAGTTTTGTACTGATACCCAATAGAAAATTTTACTTCATTGGTGCTAAAAATTTAAAAGACTGGATTAAAAAGTAAAATTAGTTGAATAATCTAAAACGAATGTAGTAAATTAAGAGTATCGGCAGTGGCGTGGATTTGCCACTGCCACACTATCACATCATCAATTTTTATAAAATGCCAAGCTTTGGCAATTTGTCATGCTTTGCATTCCATGCACGTGTCAACTACTCCTCTTTTTTTTGGCTTTTTTTTCATAAAATACAAGATTTTTAAAAAGAAGTAGAAAGATGTTTTTAAAAAAAGATAAGAAAAAACATTTCTAATATTTAAAATATGTCAAAAAAGTGTAAAAACTGATAAAATCAATGACTTGTCACCGCAAAACATGCAACTCTACTTACTTGCCACACGCCGACTGAATTACTTTTTATTGATTGAAATGTGTCACGTCAGCGTGTGAAATTCCATTTTTATACTTGCAATTGTTGATGCTCTAAGTGTTTTGTAAAGGGTACAAGTATATTTAAAAAACAAACAATATTCAAAAGCATATTTTTATGGTCTCTCAAATTTCTGCTTATTGCCTTATTGTTAGTTTTAAACAATTTTTTTTTTTGAAATTAACAATCTTGGGATCTTAAGCACTTACACTGATTTGTTACCAATACGCAAAAACATTTTTGACAAAAAATTATGCCCAATTATACAAAATTACAAGCATTACTGAGCTAAAGGTTTTGTGGGCAGGGACATCAACGTTAATCTCTCAAATGATAGGTTACGAGTTAGATATGTTTAGAAAATATAAATATAAGTAAATAATACATTCAAGTAGAGTGATTAGTGTTTAAATATTCCCGTTTTTAATTTTCTTTTAAAAACCACTAAATTATTTATATACGGAGTACAAAAAAAGTTTAAGGGGGTGTTTGTTTTTTGGCCAGAAGAGCTTCTGGCCTCTTCTGCCTGCGCCGCGCAGACGCGCGCAGATGCTGAGCTCTGCAGATTGTTTGTTTTTTGGAAGACATTTCACTCAAAAAGGTTTTCTTGACATCTTCTTAGAGAAGACATTAATCTATGTTTTCTAACATCTTCTCCATTTTTTCCTTCTACTTCTCTTCACCGCCACCGTCGTCCACCACCACCGTCACCGTCCTCCACCACCGTCACCGTCCACCATCACCGTCCATCACCACCGTCGTCCACCACCACCGCCACCATCCACCGCCACCACCACCACCGTCCACCACCGCCGCCGTCAACGTCCACCACCACCCTCCACCACCACCACAATCGTCCATACACCACCACCGTACACTACCACCATTAATTTATATAGCAATCTACAGACATTAAAAAACAAACAGTCTTCTTCTTGCAGACCGCAGACCTTCGGTCCACCACTTCTCCGGCAGATGTCTACAGTAGTGGTCCGCAGACCGCAGACCTTTTCCTGCAGAAAAAACAAACATCCCCTAAATGTCTACGTGTAGCCCATGTTTAATGGGCTGTCATCTGTTTCTTTTCGGATTTATGTCCATTACTATACCGGATTCGGCAACGCACGGGCCGAGCCATCAAAATTTTATTTGAACAACTCTATTTTTTGGGCTTCACATATACGTTCACAGTTTTGGGCTTCACTACTACAAAGTACTTCCTCTGTTTCAGAGTATTTATTTAATTTTGATTTTTTTCTGTTAAAATTAATAAATTTTACAATAAACTAAATAAAATTGGTAATAGATATTGATACAAAAATACTTCCATTAAATTTATTATATAAACTATTTTCAAAATATTATTTTATCTAATTAATATACAATATGTATTTTCTTTAATTATAGATCAAAGGTTAAAAATGGTTGATTGAAAAAAGTCAAAAATGGATAAGTACTCTGGGACGGAGGGAATAGTATGTTAATCCCTCTCTATCAACACACACACATTTGAGTTGGCATAAAATTTGAGAAAAATGAAAATACATGGTTGGAAGTGATGCAGAGGATAGGGAAAGATTGTGAGTCACCTAAAGTTTTCCGGAAAAAAAATCTTTATTTAGGACTGAGGAAATATTAATTTCTATGAATTGAATAATTTAAAGATTGATTTTGAAATGATGATAACGGAGTATAAAACTAATAAAACACTAATTCAATAACGAATTAATTAAGGACTGTGGAGTATACTTCAGATGCAAAGTAAAATAAAATATTGAATAGTTCATTAGATACAAGATCTTGTTAATTATGATGAGGTACGATGTTGTACAACCAGCATTTATAAAAAAAAACATAGAAGTAAAAAGTAAACTACATAAAAGACTTCATTACACATATTCATGTTTAATCATTGACTAAATGTGTGTAGCTAAGTAATTAATTAAGCATTTATAAGATGTTTATATGTCAATTCAAGGAAGAAGAATGGGGTGAAGTTGACGATGATGATATGCTCCTAATCCACACACTATCTGCTGTAACAGATTGGTCGTCTTCGTTTCTGTGCCATTCCCATTTTGCATGGCTTCCATTCACCACCTCAAGTCTTCCATGCCCAAAACTCGCCTCCCTAAACACTGATATTTCCGGCTCCGGCTTCATATAACTGCATTTTTAATCCATTAATATTATTTAGAATAATAGATGTATTAGGATTAAAAATATTAGTTCTAGATGATAATAGAAACTCCTCAACGATACCAAAAATATTGTATACTCTGAAGTCTTTTTGAAAATTTGGTATTAAAATAAACATTGTTAACTCTGCATTCTGTTCCTCAAATATTATTTATTTTACTTTGGTTTTTTTAATTTGTGGTATTAAAAATCATGTGAGCATTATATTTTCTTTATTCTGAAAAATAAATTTCATTGAAATAATTCAGAATCGACATAAATTTTTTTCATACTAGTATTATTAAGAATAATACTCCCTTCGTTCCACAAAACATTTCCGCTTTAATTTTTTGCGCACCCCATAAAATACTTCTATCCCACCTAAAATGTCTAAAATATCTCTAAAACAACTTCTACCCGCAATAAACTACATAGTGGGGTATATTTTAGATATTTTAGGTAGGAGTAAAAGCATTTAATGAGGTGCGCAAAAATTTAGGGCGGAAGGGTTTTAAGGAACGGAGGGAGTAGATGTATTAGGAAATAAATTATCATCATTTATTACCTTTCTTATTTTATTATATGTATTATTCTACTATGATTAGAACCTTCTTTTGTTATCTATCCCCTTTATATACGAATGAATTTTTCAGTATTTAATAAGACTAATTATTATTAAATTGAACCAAATAATTATGGATTAATATACATATATGTCATAAAAGAAATCGGCAAGGATCTTTTGATATTGGCATCAAGTGACCTTAAATGACCTTGGCATTTTAAAGCACCTACGATGATATGTTGGTAGATTTGATGATTCTTATATACCCAATCCTCCCGCCCCCTCCTAAACCCCCTTCCTCCCCAAACACTACCACCCCTCAATGCCCCCACAGTAGATTATCGATTTTGGAGTGCCAAATCAGCGGTCTAGGATAGAAGGGGGCAGGGTGGGGTGCCGGGAGGATTAGGAGATAAGAACTATCAATTTTATCAAAGTAATACGGTAGAGACCATTGGTCATAATATGACCTTGAAAATTAAGATCAAAAGTACCATTGCGTAAAGAAATATACTCCCTCCGTCCCAGAAAACCTTTCTCCTTTCTTTTTTCATCCGTCCCAGAAAAACACTTCTCATTTCTATTAAAAAGTCACTTTTACTCCTTACTTTTTCATACCCTACTTATCATATCAAACCTTTTTACTAATAATCTATTCATCAAATCATACTTTTACACATCACATCAAAGGACATTTTTGGGAATTTAATACCAAAATACACTCCCCTTATCTCCCTCCCCAAAACCAAAACTCTCATGTTTTCCGGAACGGAGGGAGTATATAATTATTCCATTTAAAAAAAAGAAAAAGAAAAGGGTGGTCATGTATTTGAAAACTAAAGAATAACAAATTAAACTTACTGGGTTGCTAGACCTTCACGATTACCACCATCTCCAATTGTGATATACATTGGCCCACATTTGTTTGCTTTGTTTTTGTACACTCGAGCCTGTATCATTCCCAATGTATATTATTATAAGAAATTATATTTCATAGGAAAAGTGATTATTGTTTTAAAATACT